AAATAACCAAAATAACCAAAATAACCAAAATAACCAAATAACCAAAATAACCAAAATAACCAAAATAACCAAATAACGAAAATAACCAAAATAACCAAATAACCAAAATAACCAAATAACCAAAATAACCAAAATAACCAAATAACCAAAATAACCAAAATAACAAAATAACCAAAATAACCAAAATAACCAAATAACCAAAATAATTCAAATAATTCAAATAATTCAAATAATTAAAATAATTCAAATAACTAAAATAATTAAAAAATTAAAAATAGGTTTTTAGTGATATAACAAGCATTTGCCAACACAATAAAATACTTATTTCGTTAATCAACTATCCTGCAATAGATATTAATAATAATTTGTTTGGCAACAAAAATGGTATTTAATTATTTAAAACGGTCTATATATAAACAAATATTGTTCTGCTTTACCATATTACATCTCTAAATTACTTAAAGTGATAGAGATTCCATTATTCATAAACTCTACCATAAACTTGGTGAATCAAATTTCTAATATATCATTTCTGCTTTAAAAAAATAGGCAGAACTCATTCAAAGACCTATATATACGAGCAAACTTTAATTTTTTTATACAGTTTTTTCAATTTAAGTAGATAATTTACAATCGTGACAAACAACTTTGCGGAAATCTTAAATTTTTGCGATAGCGTCAAAATATTCTGAATTTAGTATAAATTATTAATAATTTAGGTCGTTAAGAGGAGATTTTCATAGTAAATCGCAAATTTAGTTTCTTACTAGCACTATTAACGAGGTATTAACGAGGTTTTTTGACGGAGTACGAAAATTGGTAATTTTCGTACTCCGTCAAAAAACCTCGTTAATACCTCGTTAATAGTGCTAGTAAGAAACTAAATTTGCGATTTACTATGAAAATCTCCTCTTAACGACCTAAATTATTAATAATTTATACTAAATTCAGAATATTTTGACGCTATCGCAAAAATGTAAGATTTCCGCAAAGAACTTGTGATTCTGATATGTATTTTATTGGTTTTTGGGAAGAACAGTTTCGGTTGTATTCATGGAAAATAACAAATTGTTGAAAAAAGGATAATTACAATATAAATTTAATATGCTATGCTTATTGATATATATATAATGTTAAAAATATTGATCATAATTCTATAAATATATATATATATAGATATAGATAGATAGATAGATATAATATACAAATAATTGAAAATGATTGTTTCTTTACATTGGTTTTTTACATATTTCAAACACTTCATATTCATCTACGGTAAAATAACCTTCCGAAGTTCTAATTGGCGTATTATAATGCTTTTTTTTACAAGACCATTTATTACTTACAATTACATTACAAACTAAAAAAAGATCATTACTACCGCCAAAAGATGGACCAAAAGTATTATCATAATAAATTGCTTTACTTCTGTTATTAACTCTACTAAGAATAGAATCTTGAGGTTTTAATGAAAAAATAAAACTATCGGCTGTTCTTACATATTTATTATTAGCCTTTTTCCATTGAAGTGGGTTATATCCTCCAAGAATTTCATCAGTTCCAGCAACTTTCAATATGACAACAGTTTGAAATTTACCATCGCATAAATCATGAAATACTTCAACAGAAAATCCATCTTGACTACCCTTGAGAAGTGGTTTAAATTCATATGGAACGTTGTCTATTTCATAAGGAGAAGACCTATAATCAATCCAAGATGCTATTATTGCAGCATATTCTTTGCTAAGTAATGTTTTACATTGGCCATTATCGATAATTAATTTGTCAGTTGAAGTTTCATTTATGAAAAACTCATCAGGATGTAGTGTTGATTCATCCATTGATCTCATATCTGAATTTGTATGGATGCTATTCATATCAATCATTGATTCTTTTTCGCTTTTATCTGAACTGGTTCTTGATCTAATTAAATTATTACCCGAATTTATTCTTTGATGAATTTGCTTAACTGAATTAATGTTCGATCTAACTAAATCATCATTATTCACAATGGGATTTACATTAATATTGTAACCTTCATAAGGTAAACTATAATCTGACATTGAAGGAGGTCTATGAATTAACTGACTATCCGAATTTGATTTTGCATAATGAAATCTATCATTTGTTTGATATTGTTGACGATTTAAATTAACTTTATCGATATCAATATTTAAATTAACTCTATCTATATAAACCAATCTACCATTTTGTTCACTTTGTTGACTTTGTTGCAATGAAACTTTATGAAGTAAGTTGTCATCAGAATTTGCATTCATATGAAGTTTTTCAATATGTAATGCTAATTCATATTGCTTTTTTAAACTTTCATAAACAGGTTTTATGTCAGGTCGTTTATTTGGATAATGATCCCAACAATGTTTATAAAGTTTGATATATTCTATTGGAGTATTTTGTATTGGAATTTCTCTTTCACCATCCGATACAAAAAATATGATTTCTGATGAACTATAAGATTCAAATGGTGGCCTGCCACTAGAAATTTCCCAAAGAATAACTCCAAAGCTATAAATATCGGACTTTTTGTCCAAAATATATTGCGAATCGTTTCTTAAACATTGTGGTTCGATATATGCTGGAGTTCCGTGAGTTATTCCATCAATTATTCCATAAGTTATTGAACCTTTAGTTTCACCTATCCGTTTCGTTAATTCTAGATCTGCAATCAACATTTTCCCTTGATGAACTAATATATTCTTGGAATGCTATATAGTTTTATAATCAAAATAAATATATATCACAATAAATATATATCAATACATATAAGATATGGTTTTTTGAACATGATATAATGAAATACAGTACTTACAAGATCTTTATGAATAATTCCATGTTCATGCAATGTCAAAAGCCCCTGGGCTATTTCCGTTGCTATACGTAATTTTTCAGACCATCTTAATTTTAAATTGTTTGTTTTCAGGTATTCACGCAAATTTCCACCGTCAGCATATTGTAAAATCATGCTGTAGTCACCGAATGGGTCTATAATATATGTTAAATATCATGTTAATGTTGTAATTAAATATTCTGTAAATTAAATATTCTGTAAACATTATAAATAAATATCATATCAACATTATAAATAAATATCATATCAACATTATAAATAAATATCATATCAACATTATAATTTAAACTGTACCTTTAGTTACTCCATAAAAATTTATAATATTCGGAAAACTACAAATTTGTTGCATAAGTCGAAGCTACAAAATTATTAAAAAATTTTTAGATATTTATTATACAATTTAAGATTTTTGATTACAGATTTTTGATTAAAGATTTTATGAATCATAAAAAAGATACCTCTTTAACGAGTGTTTTAATTTTTTCCTCATTCATTTCATCCATTTCAGTAAATCCTTTTAAACTTTTATGAACAACCATTAAATTATAATTCTTCCATTCAAATTTGCGTACCTCCCCAGATGCACCTTCACCAAGGATTTGATACCCAGAAAACTCTTCATAACTATATTGATTAATAAATTGTTCTGAAATGGCTTTTTCGAGCCATTCAATTGATTTACTTGCCATGAACGTTACAAATAGAAAAATGAATTTATTTCTAGTATTCGCGTTTCCTTTATAATAAAAATAGTAATATAAATAAAACAATATTATTTTTAATTAATAATATTGTTTTTAAAAAAAAAGGACGAGTATTGTGTTAAAATGGTTAAAATGGTAATTAATTCTAAGTAATTCCGTATGTTCTGCGTGTAACATTAAACTTTAAAAATTAGTTAGTGCATATGTGACATTGACGTTTTACCATGTTTTACCATGTTTTACCATGTTTTGCCATGTTTTATCATTTTAACCATGTTTTACCATGATTTACCATGTTTTGTCATGTTTAGTCATGTTTTAACATGCTACTGTCAAACCTCCCTAAATACAACGCATAAGAACCAACTTGCATTTAGAAAACAATAAGTAAAATTTTGAGGTTGTAGAAGATATTAAATGTAGTATTTAAAGAGGTGTTATATTTAAAAAAGCGTTGTATTTAGAAGGTTGTATTTACTATATAGATGCCTGACGAAACCATGTGATGCTAATTGTCACATGTTATTACTTATAAAAATTAGAATTAATTGTTAAATTTTATATATCGTAGCATGTGACAATTAGCATCACATGGTTTCGTCAGGCGTCACTAATTTACTACATTGTTTACTACATTGTTTACTACATTGTTTACTACATTGTTTACTACATTGTTTACTACATAGTTTCCATGGAATATTCTAGTCACTACATACGATGAATATCAAACTCGTACTACATTTATTTTGCATTGGCGTTTTTACAAATACCATTATTTTAAATTGGTTGTTTTAACTTGGTTTTGGTTTACAGAATAACTATTTTAAATTGGTTTTTGAACTAATGACCTGATAGGTGATCTTTGCGTACTGCATGTAAAGTTTATCTTATTACAAAGAAAAAAAAGATTCTAGTTATTTTATAAAACTTTATTTTTAAAAATTTAAAAAGAATCGGTTAATTTCTAATCATAATTACACAACCGTAATATGACATTATGGTAATCTTACACAACCATAATAGGTCATTATAATAATAATCAATAACCAATTTTCAATAATAACTGTATTCAATAAGTCAATAATGATAAATAGTCAATAACGATAGCAATAACCGATAGATAATTATGATCGTCAAACAACCGATGATAATTATGATCGATTGAGTAACCGGATCAAAATAAAAGAAGAAAAAAAAATATCCGATAAATTTGTCACGTACTACGAATACATAACAATAGTAAACAAAACTATTTCTTTATTTCAGTATTTAAAATAGAGTGACACATATAATCACACAAATCACAAAAAAGCTGTACATTAAACTTTAAGCTTTCATGTTTATCAACATAATAATTCAGCAATATAATCATTAAACGGCGTAATACTATGTAGATATGTATATAGTACTATGCACACGCAATTTCTAAACAAATTGAAACAAAACTCGTCACCCTGCACAAATGTCCAGTTCGTTATAGACGTACTACATGCATACCTAACACTAATGTGAAAGTTTGAATGCGGATTTTTTTATCATCTTATAGTAGCATAGTACGTACAGTAGCATCGCATTAGCACAAAGTTTTCAATGAATTAAAATTCAATAGTTGATGCAGTACAATATTATATAGTTACACGAACATAAAAGGAAATATTTAATGACACGTAATCTTGAGTATTTTTAAATCTTATACGTACTGTGCGTACGTAAGTATTCGTTGAACGTAATAAAGGTGGCTTAGCTTTCAGTTAAAAATCATTTTCGGAACTATTGGTCAACTAACACAATTTATTTACTCAAAATATTATATAGCTAAACGAGGTGTATTAATAATATTAGGTCACGCAAAGTTAATTTTTCGGTTTGCATTATATTAATATTAAATCTGAAATTTTGTTGACGGTCTGTTCTATCGGATAATTTCGGACAATTAAGGCTCCATCGTGTGATACCGGATAAGATGAGAAATTGCAATAATAGAATCGGCAATTAAAACAAAAAATTTGAAAAATTGAAAATTTAACTTTGCGTAGTTTACTGAAGAATAAACTAGTATTCTTGAATCTATTCTCAATCTATTCTCAATCTATTCCCAACTCTTAATCGATTAAAAATCGATTTTGAAATTAATCCTATACATACAACTCAATAAATTATTATTTTAGAATTTATAATAACTTAATGCATTCCAAGAATATATTAGTTCATCAAGGGAAAATGTTGATTGCAGATCTAGAATTAACGAAACGGATAGGTGAAA